TGGTGGTTGATGGGAAATGTTCATCCTGGAGTTCAGTTACTAGTGGTGTACCTCAAGGATCTGTTTTGGGGCCACTGCTGTTTGTCATTTTTATAAATGACCTGGATGAGGGCGTAGAAAGATGGGTTAGTAAATTTGCGGATGACACCAAAGTCAGTGGAGTTGTGGATAGTGCGGAAGGATGTTGCAGGTTACAGAGGGACATAGATAAGCTGCAGAGCTGGGCTGAGAGGTGGCAAATGGAGTTTAATGCGGAAAAAAGTGTGAGGTGATTCACTTTGGAAGGAGTAACAGGAATACAGAGTACTGGGCTAATGGTAAGATTCTTGGTAGTGTGAACAAGCAGAGAGATCCTCGGTGTCCATGTGCATAGATACTGAAAGTTGCCACCCAGGTTGATAGGGTTGTTAAGAAGGCGTACGGTGTGTTAGGTTTTATTGGTAGAGGGATTGAGTTTCGGAGCCATGAGGTCACGTTGCAGCTGTACAAAACTCTGGTGCGGCCGCACTTGGAGTATTGCGTACAGTTCTGGTCACCGTTTTATAGGAAGGATGTGGAAGCATGGAAAGGATGCAGAGGAGATTTACCAGGATGTTGCCTGGTATGGAGGGAAGGTCTTATGAGGAAAGGCTGAGGGACTCGAGGCTGTTTTCGTTAGACAGAAGAAGGTTAAGAGGTGACTTGATAGAGACATACAAGATGATCAGAGGATTAGATAGGGTGGACAGTGGGAGCCTTTTTCCTCGGATGGTGATGGCTAGCACGAGGGGACATAGCTTTAAATTGAAGGGTGATAGATATAGGACAGATGTCAGAGGTAGGTTCCTTACTCAGAGAGTAGTAAGGGCGTGGAATGCCCTGCCTGCAAAAGTAGTAGACTCACCAACTTTAAGGGCATTTAAATGGTCATTGGATAAACATATGGATGATAATGGAATAGTGTAGGTTAGATAGGCTTCAGATTGTTGCGCCAACCTGGGAAACCATCGAGGGCCGAAGGGCCTGTACTGCGCTGTAATGTTCTATGTTCTATGTTCCATTACAGGCTTCTTCAAAAAGGATGGACTCCTCAGATGCCCTGGTTGCTGGTTAGTGAACTAATGCTGCACTGTCTATACATTGAGAGTGTGAGGAGCTGATCACTGCTGCACATCCCAGTGTTCAGCAAGTTCTCTTCCAGGCCTCCTGACAAGATGGTGATTTCCACCAGATTCATGGTAGAAATGCCAGCCCCTAGTCTACCCAAATCCCATGCCATTCACCAGGTAGAGGGCAGAGGACACCAGCTGGGAAAGAACATGGTCACTGTCAAGCTTCCTACTAAAGGTCAGTCTGCTGACTGCAGTTACTTTAGCTTTCCATTACTGACTGGGACTTGGCAAATTTACAGATGAAAGTCAAAACAGCAGATGAGCGAGGAGGACAAAAACTTCAAGAATAAGATAACAGGGCTGGAGAATGGGACTAGCTGTTTCAGGAGATAGTACAGATGTGATGAGTTGCAATGTACCGTAAATTCTATGATGCCACAGCAGGGTAGGACTAAGCCCCTTGCCAGACTACACCACAGCATCTTCTTGCAGAAGGCCTTTCCATGCTCTCCACCCACATCCACAATACCCCTCGTCCCCACCGTTTCACGCTCCCCCCCGCACCCCACCAACTCACTGGGTCCTTTGATGACGACCTTCAGCTCTCCAGTTCCTGCTCCTTTAGTAAAGACCTTGAAGTCTGTCACCTCCTTCACTCGCACCCCTTTAGGCTGCAGACCTCTCCCCGAGGCTCGACACGCATTCGGGTTGCACGCTGCCAGAAACACAGGGTTTAGGGTTAGTGCCACTCTGCCAGCCACACTGCCGATCGCACTGCTCTGTTCCCCCAGCCCGTGGCAAGGGTGTCTAGTCAGTCGGGCACCACAGCATCTCTGGTTACACCAGGATTAAAGAGGAGGGCCAGACTCGCCATAGGATCAGCAACAGAAGCCTTCCACCCCACTGCTACTGCGTGCAACACAGGCACAGGTCCCATTCCAGAGAGGTCAGTCAGAGTTCCTGCCTCAGAGCGCCTGTTTACTGATGCCTAGTTTCAGGGACAGGCCGATCTCTTGCCTCCTCAGAAACATGTTTAACTAGCTGGGGAGGTGAGGCGGCCAAATCTGGACGGACCTACTGGCGATTTCAATCAATCAATTAACTCCCCCAGTTACACTAATTCACAGGACATCGGTTTTTCAATAGACAGGCAGTCAGACAGAGACAAAGCCATTCTGGACAAGGAATGCTTACAAAATTCCCATCACAACTTGTTCTTCCAGGAAGGAAGGCGGCCAGATCTCAGCCATTTCAGCTCAGCAGGACAGCCAGCATTACCCCATTCCCCGACCTTGCCGATTTTAAATTAAAAAAAAACAGAGGTTGCTGGGTTAGTGTTCAAAGTTACCAACGAGTCACATTCCGGGTTAGTAAAGAACCAGCAAAAGTCAAGCCAATGTATCCTTGTTGGCTCAGAGGGTTTTCACAGACTTTGCAAACCCCCATCCCCCAGGGACAGAACCAATGACTCGTCCAGCACAGGTTCTACAGCTTCGGGTCAGGGTTTTAACGCTCATACAGAAACGCAACTAATGGCCTTCACTCAGACAGAAGGAGCATCCACACACCTCAATCAGATACAAGCACAAGCAGGCACTCATCGCAGGCCAATACTAACGTGGTCGTTTGGGTTTGGGAGGTGGGGGTGGAGCTTTCTTTGCCTTGTCTGCTGGCGGGGTGCAAATGGACTGAGGAACGATCGTAATCGGAACTGGAGCAGCAACCGGGGTCGGAGAGGGGGGTCCTGAGGTCAGTCGAGCACAAGTCACCAGGAAGAGAAGATGAAATAAGAGATGTAACAGCGTGAGAGTTGAAGGTTTGTGTGGCTTCCTGAAGTTCAGTGCGAAGGAGGATGGTGGGTTGAGGGAAAAATGGAATAATACACTCAGTGAGCCGCAAACCCCACCCCACCACCCCTCCCTAGAAAAGAGCTCCCATTCCTACTGGCCTTTTCATTAAGAAGGAACAGGCCGAGGAACTGGTCTTGACGCATTGACTCACTGTAATCCAACCTCAGTCTCACCCTCCAATAACTGGATGAGTCAACCTTTTATCACCATTAACTAATCACATTAGTCATCCTTATCCTTTGATAAGTGACCATAACAATCCTGTCCTTTTAACTAACTGCACTAAAACAAATAGTCTGACAATTGTATTAACATCACTGAATCATCCACTCCTGGGAAGAGATTACCACTGGAGCAGAAACTGAACTGGAACAGACTAAATACTGTGGCTAAAAGAATAAGTCAAGGCAGTTCACAATCCCAACAGTAATTAGGGATAGACAAGATCTCAGTCACACTAGACAGTAACTTTGCAGAACAAGAGAGAGAGTCAACATATTCACAAATGACATGTGGCTCAAATGGAAAGGTTACATGTTCAAGCCACACCAGAGAGCCTTCAGCTCACAACCCAGGTGGTGCCACTCCACAGCACTGCACTGTAAAATATCCCACAGCATTATTTACAGAAGTACAGAGAAATTCTCCCCAGCATCCTGGTTCATATTTATTATTCAAATCAACCATTAAACATAATGAAAACTGCATCATGCAAGGTCAATCACAATGTGGATTTGAGAGCTTGCTGTGTTTAAGTTGGCTGCTGTATTCCCTACATTACTGTCCTGACTACGTTGCAAAAAGTATATCATGAACAATAAAGCACTTGGAACACCGCAGAGTGGTACAATAAAAAGCTCTAACACAAACACACATTGGGGAAAAAAAAAGATCAAAATCATGCCTTTGACTGCTCAGCTTCATCAAGTCCCTCTGAAAACCAAACTTTTCCCAAAGAAACATGACCAACTCAACTATTTGGGACGATAGCATAAAGATTATGAACAGAGACTTTCAGGTTCAAAATATCATTAACAGACAATGTCCCCCAAGTTCACAGTTTGCTTCCCCTTAACCCTCATGTGCTACATCTCTGACTCCACTTGCGCTATCACTCATCCTTGATTTCTCTACAACGAGAGATTTAGCCACTTTGCAGATCCAGCCTCTTGGTCCTCACATTTCTAATCTCTGGCCACCAGCCAGCATCAGCTACCCTCCTGAGTGGTTACTTCCTCATCCCCTCTCCCAGCTTCCTTGTTTACCCTATGCCCTTTCCTCCCCCACCTTGAACTCCAGTTTCCATTCTTCCTGCCTTAGAGGCACACAGTTTCCCCTCCCTCCAGCTAGCAACCACCCACACCCCTCTCACCTGGGTGCTTGCCCCACTCAGAAGGGAAGGAGCCACGGGAAAGGAAAAAGGAAAGACACACCTCAGACAGAAAGAAAATGCCCCATTGTGGAACTTACCTTCCGAGATGTTGACAGGGAAAGGGCTCTTGGGTATCTGGGCCCCAGCAAATGTTACGTAGATGGTGTGACGACCTTCAAGCAGGGGCCTGTAGGTGCAGCGCATAACACTGTCACCTTTATCCTCCAGAATTACCTCCACCGTGTCCCGTCGACCCTGGGGATCAACAATAACAACCCCGACATCTCCTGATCCAGCACCTAAGAGTAAACACATGTTAAAGTTGGACAGCAAGAGCCACAATGCAGCAGCACCATATAAATTTATGAACTCTACATTGGATCAGAGAACAACCACTAAACACAAGAATCAGAAGATGACCGAAGGATTGCAATTAGTACACCACAACAAAAGGTTGTTGTTAGATCTGTAACTACAGGCTAAAATCAAATGTCAGCAGTGCACCTAAAGGGCATCACTGAAGATCAAAACTCAAACTTGGAGTGACATAGATTAAATAGAGGACTCCAGACAGAGATTTGAGAAGCCATAGTGACCAATGCCTAATAGAAGCAGTTAATCCTGGAAGTAACAAGAAGTGTTACTGAAGGTAGTGTAGCAGATGTACACTGGAATTTTCAGACACTTATCCAGAGAATTGAAACAATGTTAAATGGATGACGATAATTTAAATACAAAATTGGCTCCAGGGTAGGGCAAACAGAATAATGAAGAATGCATTTTTTTCCCCCCACCTCCTGACTGGTGCGTTGTACAAAGTGGGACACCACTAGGAGCCAATATCAATATCATCACTTTACTCATTTTATCCTCAAGGTGTCCTGAATGTGAATAGATGGAGTACAATTTCAAAGTTCACAAATTATGCAAAACCTGGTAATGCAGTAAATACAGTTCAGAAGGACAGAGATGGAGACTGGTGAAATGGACCCATACACAGCAGATGCTCTGAGAAAATGTATGCTGTGTAGGAGGGACAACAAGCAATAATCCAAATGCTATTACTTCAAGGTAGCTCACACAACAGATGGATTCAAAGTGAGCGCTTTAACATGGTATGGTTAGTTGATACACAAGAAAAAAGTGGTTCAGAAAATGAGAGGGGCTACTTCGCATTCCAAATCAGGGCTGTGTTTTATAAAACAAAGGCAACATGTGAGACTTTACAACTGGCTGGTTTGGCACCAGCTGGAGTAGTGCATGCAATTCCAGAAACTAAACTTTAGCGAGCATGCCAAGCCCCTGCAGTGGGTACGGAGGGGATTTACCAAGATGACACCAAGAATGAGGGAGTTCATTCCTGTGGAGTGACCAGAGGAGCAGAGAGGTTGTTTCTAGAACACATCATGCTAAAGGGGAAGCCTAATTAAATCAGAGCAGCAGGAGGTTGCTTTTCTTCTGGTAAGTGAATCAATAGGACAAGCAGGTCAAGTGGAAAGAGTTGGTGTTCAAACTGTACTACACAGAGCCTTCTACTCTCAACTCAGACAGGCAATACTGAGGGGTGGGGCACTGTACTGCTGGAGCAGAAACAGACGCTAAATAAGAGAATAGCAAGTAGAAGAAATTACTTCTCAATGAGGATATGATCTGAATCACAGCCCCTGCAAATGTAAACGCGATCCTGTAGGAGCTTTCACAATTTGACATGTATCCAAGAGGACAAGTTTGCAGGATAATGGGGAAAGGCTGAGAAATGAGTCAAACACAAAAATCTCTTTGAAAGAGGTGGCACAGACATTGCAGGCCAAACAGTCTCCTTCTGCAATGCAGCAATCTGACTCTTTTAGAATAATGACAATTCCAACAGTAGATTCAAATTTATTCAAGGTCTCATTACCCAACCACTGGTTTAAGTTTTAAACCACATCACGAAGAAACTCTGCAATACTCTAACCACAGGCCCACTTCACCACAAATTAAGTTGTAACACTCGAGTCCAACAGCCCACTTCCACAGAGCAGTTTCTTGACCTTGCCATGGAGGAGGACAGCAGGACCGTATCCTCACTCTGCTCCTTACCTGCAGTGTAAATGTCAAAGTACGTCGGCTTATTGGCCACATTCCCGTTCAGTTCCAGGCCAGGCCCTCGGGCAGTCACTTTATTGGCATCACCCAGTGCCATGCCAATGTGAACATTGAAAGGACTTTTGTCAATCTGCTGCCCAGCAAACAATACTGTTACCTAGAAACAAGCACAAGGGCAGTGTGATTACTGACATGAATAGATGGTGTGCTGGGATCTCCCTGGCCATTCAACAATCTCCTTCCTTATGGGGCGGCATGGTGACTCAGTGGTTAGCACTGCTGCCTCAGCACCAAGGATCCCTGTTCAATTCCACCCTTGGGAAACTGTCTGTGCAAACTCCACACATTCTCCCAGTGTCTGCATGAGTATCCTGCAGGTGCTCTGGTTTCCTCTCAGTCTAAAAGATATGCAGGTTAGGTGACTTGGCCATGGGAAATGCAGGGTTACACAGATAGAGGGAGTCTGGGTGGGATGCTCTTTGCAGTGTTGGCATGGACCCGATGGCCTGCTTCCACAATGTAGGGATTTTATGATTCACTGAGAACTTCCACATAAATGGCAGAAAACCTTTAACAGGCCATTCATAACATTCCAGTAGAGGAATTTAAATTAGGAACAAGGGGTATGTTGAATATGATTGACAAGACCGTGATAAGGACAAAGAAACTGTGCCCTTTAAAGGAGTCCAGAACAAGGGGCATGACCTTAAAATTCAAGCTACCTTGTTCAGGGTTGCTGTCAGAAGGTGCTTCTTCACAGTGTAACAAAACGTTGGACCTCTCGCCTCAGAAACCTCTCGATTCTGGAGCAAGGTCAACAGAGATAAAAGTTGATATTTTTGAGTGTATTTCGGGGGATGAAAGGCAAGTGGGGTTGAGACGCAGCTAATAACAGAATGGAGGAACAAGCTCAAGGAGCTGAATGGCTTCCTCCTATTCAGCTGATAGGTTATGAACTTGACCCATAGAAATGGTCCTGTCCTGTTGGGCTCAGGGGCTTTCCTAGATCCTGAATATTGACCTCGGGACCTTTCACTGATGGAAGAGAGAAACCCAGCAGGAATTTAAAGACATGTGAATGCAAAACTCACAAGAGCATGATATGGAAGGGTTTGGTGGGGGGTCAGTGGGGGTAGGAATCAAAATGGGTTAATACAGAGCAGAGCAGAGAGAGCACGTATTTAGAGTGAACGGTCAGAGAATTACCTTGTGAAGTCCAGCAACTTTGGGTATATAGGACACTGAATATGTACGTTTCTTGTCATTGTTTGCGACCACTCTCGCCTGTACAGAGAAAAAAGGAAAGGACTGAATAATAGCCTTTTCACACTGGAACCAGTGCTGGGTTACTCACCCACCCAGAGCAGGTATCAGGGAGGGACTTATAAAGGATACAATCCCAGCTCCACACCTGTCAGGACATACCCACCAGCACAGAGCATAGATTGATCCCACATTGCATCCACAGACAGAACCAATGACACACAAACATTACCTCTTCAGTATGGCCTTCAGGGTCCTCCACGTAGACTAGAACCTCCCCAAGACCGGCATCAATCGTCTCCACAGTGAACTCTGCTGGTTTTAAGACCATGTTACCCTGGGGTTCAATTCCTGCAACCAAAACCAAACATTAGCCAATGATGTCAGACATTAACAGTGTTACATTCCTAGTAAGGTCAAAAAGGCACACACAACTGGAATTCTTGTATTTAAGAGCAAAAAATTGTGGTTAAATTTTAAATCCGATATGGACTGGATTTAATTAACCAAAAAAAGGAATTACAGGAAACAAGGCAAGATGAACATTTGGATTAAGATCACAGATCAACTATGACCTCAAACAGCCAGACAGTTGTTAAATGGCTGGTTTCCACTCCTAGTCTTCTGTTCCTCACCTGGTCCATAAGCACGAGCTTTCTTGGGGTTGATTTTGGTCCTGAGGGGAGCACCAGGTTTGAGCTTTGCTTTGGGGAACTGGGAGAGGTAGGTCATCACCGAGTGTTCGTCTACATTGGGGTCCACAATCTCTTCAGGAGCAATCACCTACAGAAGCAGGAAGCAAGAGAGAAATCAGCAGCGAGGACAGAGACACAGTGAAGATTCCAAAGGCCAACAACAGCAGTAAGCAAGGAGATGACATCTTGAATCATCTCCGGAGTGTTACGGGGAATAACATCTCACTGCAACAGAGATGCCACGAAGCTGCTCCACACAATCAGTTGTATCTACACAGGCACGGAGAGAATACTGACACTCACCTGAGGGACTCCCAGCCAATCATCAGCCTGCTGCATGGCCTCCCTGGCATTGTCCACAGGTTGGTTTGGGTCCCAGTCCAACCAGTCAGGGCACAGACCTGCAGGTATGACAAGTGATCTTGCAATCAAAGAGCAGACAAACACGTGGTATCTTTTAGTACATTGCTGGGAAGAGCCACATGTGGAAATGGACAAGTGGAAAGGAAACAGATAGCAGGACATGCCCTCCCACCAACACCCACCTCTAATCACATCCCCAGCCCCCATCCCCACTGCAATCAGTTCTGGTTCTGACAATGCGGCCGTCTGTTCGAATACGGTCTTCACTGTGCATAGTACTAGCCCCACACTGCTGTCTGACAGTATACCATTGCTTCATGTCCCTCCAACAGTGCAGCATCACTGTGTCCGGTCCCTTCCAATAATACAGTATTCCTTCATTGCCCCACATTGCGGTGTTCTTCCTGCTTGCCCTTGACAGTTCAGCTTTCAGTCTTTGCCACTCCTCCTGTGACAGGGCAGTACTGAGGGAGGATTGCACTAGGAGTGTCAGTGCACATTGTGGGTACAGCCCACTGAGGGGAAGTGTGCCAAGCTTCTCAATCAGAATGTGTCACACCAACAATAAAAACTCCTATATGGTCAGATGCAGGAGAGCTTCATACTCCTTCCAACACAGATCATGGCAGCTCCAAATTTATTCCCAACATAGCTCAGACTGAACACTCGGAAACCGATTAACCAAGGGGTCAGCACCAAGAGCTCCTGGCTCAGGAGTATGACTGGAGTGAAGGGGGTGGGAAGGGAACTCTTGCTCATTCGATTATCAACAGATCTCACCAGCAGAGTACAGACTTGATTGACAAGGCTGATAATGCACAACACCAGCCCCTGCTCTAGGCCCAAATCACATCTGCTTTTGTTTATCTCAGCCAAATCCCTGTAACACTCAACAACAATTCACTGTGCTTTCAAATCCACCCTTCCGGACTTTGCTGCCTCATGGTAAACACCAGGACCTTCATCAAGATAACCCGAGAGGGGGATGGGGAAAAACAGGAGGTGGTCAGGGGTGGGAAAGCAGAGGGAGAGAAGAGGAATAACAATACCCCTACTCGTCTGCATTCAACAAACATCTGCACCCCCTACCCCTGCAGTTGCCTGCCCCCTCACATCCCTCAGCCCCCACACTGTGCAGGCATACATCTGAACGCAGCCTCTTACTATAACGAAACCATCAAATTTTCACGTCTGTTCTTGACAGCCAATTGTATAATGCAGTCAGTCAATCTGCAGCTGAAGCCATTTTCTCTTTTTTAAAAAAAAAATTATTTTCTTAGGCAGTCCTTTGGAAAGAAAAGGGCAATTTGTGTCCACTCCAGGCCTGTGGATCCAGATGCAAGAAAACCATCTAATGGTGAATCTGCACACCCTGTGGGTGGGGTTTGAAGAAGTGAGGGGGTGGGAGGCTCAGGTTCTTGCACACTTCTTCCACTGTTTACACTTCATCTGGCCCAGTTAGAGGCTGAGATGCAAGAGGTGGTCAGAATCCAGGCTCTTCAGACTAAATCGTCTGATATTCATCAACCATGCTACATGAGCTCTACTTTCCTTACTGATTGTACAAAATCTCTGCGCCTGGAGGACAATATTGAGTGGCAGTGATTGCCCAGAGAAGTTACGGAATGGCAGAATGGTCTGAGGGATGCTGCTGATTTAACCAAGGAGCCTGGCCTCACTCTTGGGAGGGTAACACTTCTTGCTCTTTAGTTCTCAACCTGTATATTAGAGTCCAGGTGTAAATCTCACCACACCACACAGGTTACATTACAATTGGTTCATGTTATTGAGATACTGCCAATCTTTCTACTGCCTACAATAACCCAATACCATCACCAAACTCAAAATACAACTGTCCATCCACCTGTCACGAACCAATGACAGAATCCAACTCCAGAATTTAACTTCCTCATGGTCCTGGCACCCAAGCTAGGTCATCTGCTTCCACACTGACCCCCCACACCAACTATCGGTGATGCCACAACCACCAAGTTCCTCACCTGGGGCACAGTTGTCCACTAATGCCCCCAGTGCCTTGCCATCCTGCCAATCCCGGTTAAAGTTGGTGATTGGAAGTTGTGGAATCTTGTTCTGAATCCACCCCAGCAGCCTCTGCTTGGGAGTCTGCTTCTTGATATCTTCATCATCCTCATCCTCCCACATGGGCATGGAGATGGAGTAATGGAGGATGAGGGTCCAAATCAGGCCCAAGATCAGCTTCAGGTTCCCATCCACAATGGCCTTACTGTCTGTGAATAACAAAACAGGAGACATAGTCATTACACAGCAACAACTTCAAACATTTAAAACATCAACCAAAACAGCAACCATCCTGCACTATGCAAGATGGAGCAGCAGTAAAGGACACAGTTAAGAAAGGAAGCTGAATCTGAAATTGAACAAAATAGTTTTGAATAAGGTTTCTCTACTGCGGGGAGGACGAAAGGAAAAGAAAAAGAGGAGAAAAAAGGAGTCGAGGGAACAGTTCCTGAAGTACACCCCACAGGCAAGAAGTAAAAGGTGTGCCAAAACACAGGCAACTAGCTGTAAGGGGCATGTGGAGGGAGTGGGATTTGGCCCAGGGACATGCTATTAGATTAGATGGTCACAGGATATGTGGCAAAAACATTACCAAGACATTTAACCAACATGGACTCCAACCCACCCACTCCCTGTTGTACAACTCCTGGAAATGTTTCATTAGGGGGAGCTTTACACTGTCTAAGCTGCGCTGAATGTGTCCTGGGGAGTGAATGCTTGATGGGACAGCGTATCTAACCCACGTGGTACCTCCTTGGCTCAGAGACAGACTAAGCCCCCAACTCTCACCCGCTGTTGTCTGAATATCAGGAACTGTTTACAAGAAGAATACAGCCTTGCCTATCATGAGGCAGGACGTGTTCGTGAACAGTGACATCCCACAGTCTGATCAAAAGAAACACCAGTGACCCCTCCCCATGAGTAACTCTCCCCTTATGAGCATCTCCCCAGCTGTTGGGGCAATCAGCCTCACTTGTCTGAAGATTGCCAGCAATGTTACCCATCCACAAAAAGTTATCCTGGCTGGTGCACTGTGAGCAATACAGGGATTCCTTCGTACAGGTCTGGAGTATGCTGTGCTGAGCTCAGCTCCTTATGACCCCTTTCTCCAGCATCCGCAGCCATTGTTTTTTTTTCCCGTCTAGTTTTTCCAATCATGACCCCTGTTGCTGTCACTGAAAACATTGCCGGAAATTCCATGATCAACGGAAACTTCAGAAATGTTGATTTCCACCAATGCAGCTCCTCTGTGCACAACATGTCCCACACTTAACACCCAGTCCCCAGTACAACAGTCCCTGTGCTCTTGCCACAGACACTGCAGCTCCCCATCCCTGCAGCCCAAGGGGGCAGGCCCCTCTACCCAACCCTCACTCTCGCATATACACAGTGCAGAAAGAGCAGGGATGCAGGAGGCATACTCTCACATTAGTTATGTGCCCAATCTTTGCTCACTCGCTATAGAAATCCTTATTCATCTCTGTTACCAAATAAAGCCTGACATTGGAGAGGGAAAGTGCCACAGTCTGCTGTAAACATTCTGCAGCTACAGGTGATATAAAATCTAATCCATTTGCTCAGACACAAACCAGTACTGGAGGAGGAGGGTGAGTCATACTTTTACAATGAAACTCTCGCCAACCACCTAAGTCATCAGTAACTCTGTACACTTAAGAGTTTTACCTCATGTAAACTGTAGCTGTGTACAATTACCCAGAGTGGTCATTATCCCAACTAAACAGTGATAGTGATTAGCATTTTATAGAATGATGCAGCACATTCAGCCTACTGTACGATTGCCAGCTTTTAAACAAAGGATTATCCGTTTGTCACAGTCTCCAACTCCTTCCCTAAAGCCCTGTCAATGTTTTTCCTTTCAACTATTTTTCCGAATCGCTTTTGAACATTATTGAATCTGCTTCCACCATGCTGCATTCCAGATTTCAACAACTCACTGTAAAAATAATTTCCTCATGACATCTCCGATACTTGTGCCAAAACCATTCATAAATTTTGAATAGCTCAAAATCAAAATTTCCATTTAACCTTCTCTGCTCCAAAGGAGAACAATTCCAGCCTCTCTACGTAACTGAAGTCCCTTAACCCGGGTACCATTCAAGTCAGCTCCTCCCCACCCTCGCTAAGGCCGTGACCTCCTTCCTGGGGCCCAGAATGGGTCACAATACTCCAGCTGGGGCCAAGCCAGTGATTTATACAATTTTAGCATAATATTGTGGTTTATGCATCTCTTCAGAAAGCCAGGAGTTCTTGTTGCTTTTCTCAAAAAAAAAAAAATCAGCTTCCCTAACTTGTACTCTGCTTAAAACTTGTGAACCTAGACCTCCAAGTCTGTCCATTCCTGGGTCTCCTTTAAAAACTTATGCTATTTAGTTCATATGATTTGCACCAAAGCATCATTTCACACTTTACTGTCAGTAATGTGATTGCCTACATCATTAGTCCATATATTCCTGAATTCTGTTACCATCCACCTCATTGTTCACTACAACTCCCAACTTCTAGATCATTTGCAAACGTCAAACTTATGATCAAGTCTAGATCATTCAAACCCAAACTAACACTGTACCCTGGGAAATTCCACTGCAACTTCACTCCAATAGTCAAAAACAATATTTCTAATTACTTTCTGTCCCTTAGTCAAGTTTGCACCAGTACTTCAATCCTGTGGGTTGCGAACATTATGTCAGGACTGTTAAATGGTACTTGTCAAGTTCCTTTGAAAGGTCATACACATACTATCAACTGCACCACCTTCATCAACCCTCCCCATTACTTCAAAAAACCTGATTGCTTGTTTTGACTAACTTAATCTGACTTCAGCAAATCCATATTGACTTTCATTTATTAACTCCATAATGTTCCAACCATCAATTAAAAATTATATCCCAGGTTATTACCTTCAACTGTTTCCACCACATGCACTAATCAGACTGGGCTGAACATAACTGGAGTCTGTACAATTACAGAGAGTTGGGGTTGAGGGTAGATGAGTGAGGCAATGGCCTAGTGATATCATCGCTGCACTGATAATCCAAGAAACCCAGGCAATGTTCTGGGGCCTGGGTTCAAATCCTGCCATGGCACAATTTTAAAAAAATATTCTGGAATGAAGAGTCTAACGATGACCATCAATCTATTGTCGATTGTTGATTGTTGGAAGAACCGAATCTGGTTTGCTAACGTCCTTACTTGCTCTGAACTACATGCAACTCCAGACCCACTGCAGTATGGTTGATTCTCAACCGCCCTCTGAACAATTAGGGATGGGCAATAAATATTGGCCAAGCCAGCGATGCCCTCATCCCATGAATGAGTTTAAAAAAAACATGGGGTTGCTGGTTAGAGAGAATGACAAGGAGACAGAGTGGGTGTGGGTCCAAACAGAGGGACCTGTTTGGAAGGTCAGTATTTTTTTTTAAAAAAAAAACACTTAAACCAAAGGGACAATGCTTAGTCAGTAAGTGAACCAGTTTCAGTGGATTCTAGACAATCAGAATTTGGGATTAAATGACAAAAAGATGATATCATGTTCCAATTTCCAGCTCACTGCCTCCTAAAAGACATGATACAGTTCCCTGCCTCTCATCTGTCATCAGTGACTCAGGAACACAATCACCTCAAAAGCTTCAGGTCTCATTCTAGAGAGTGGAGCTGGAAAATCTACATCTAAACCTATAATGCAATACTGAGGGAGAACTGCACCGAGATGTCAACTTCCAGATGCCACATAAAACGGAGACGAGACCTGCCTGTTTGACTGGATGTAAAGAGATGCATAGCTTCATTTTGAAGAGATGGCGTTATCCCCAATTTCCTGGCTAATATTTATTTCCCAATCAAATTTCAATCATTATCATACGTTGCTATTTGTGGAGATTTGCTGTGCCTGACATAGTTGTGACACTTTCTCGGACGGAGTACACTTCAAGCAAAAAACAACAGTTTTCATCCAGAAGTCAATTTTAGATGTCTGTTGATCACAAAAGGACGACATAAATGCAAGACTCTAAGTGACCACCTCTTCCCCCCCACACCCATGCTGATGTACATTCGTCAATCGCTACATTTCAAAGCTTCGGTCTAACATCTTTATCTGGATACAGGCTAAAGTTGTAACAAATACTTATAAACAGTCCATTCAGGCCAAAAGGGCCAGACTGCTGTTTCTGCTTCACACAAGCCTCCTCCACCCCATTTTAGCAATTGCACAATGATACCTTCCATTCTTTTCTCTTTCAAATGTGTTTATCTAGCTTCTCCTTAAATGTGCCTAATCAATTCAATTTAACTCAGAGGTCATGGGTTCAACATTTAAACCACTCACTGAATAAAGACCTTGCTTTGAATTCCCAGATGGATCACTTACCAATGATTACGGTCCTAAAACATTAATGGTGTTTCTTTCTCCACAGATACACAGCAGATCTGGCCATATTTCTAATGTTTTCTGTTTCTATTTCAGATTTCCAGGGTCCACAGTATTTTTTTGTTTAAATATATGGACACTGATTTTGGTCTCTCCAGAAGCGGAGCCATCTGAAGTTCTGCTATTAAACACTTGCACCATCTTGAAGCCCTCCACCTGATACCCTCACCCCATAATCCCCTAGAAAAGACTTCGCTTATCTGGGGAAAGAACCCCTGCCTGTTCAATGTTTTTAGAAAGCGATAACCACTCAGGTCTACCACCAAAAGAAAGGCACTGTCTTGATATTCTTTATGAGTTCCTGTTCTCCATGGGCCTCACTGTCTATCTTGAACCATTAGATGTCCTTGTGTCCTTAAACCAATTTTGCGCAAAGGCACAATCAGCTTATTTTGAATGATACCGTAGTCACTGCCATTCTCCTCCTCACAGTTCATGTAAGGCCATATATAGTAGGCAGCCTTACAGTAGGTCAACAATGGGGTGTGGGTCTCCTCTGTTGAGCAGTCCTGTTTCAAGATATACCAGACATGGAAAGGTATGTGTTTAGTGTTCAGTACCTAGCTTGGAATCCAAGACCACCATCGATCAAAAAAGTCAAATACTGGACTTCACAATAAGCTCAGCTTTGCCAACGAGTTTGTTGGGCCAATTAAATGCACAACACACAGCAGATAACTGCACAAACATGAGGTTAGGGAAGGATCCTAAAAATTCACAACCTTCTTTCAGGAATAAAAGGAAACAAACAGTAACAGAGCA